GGGGTTGGACCAGATGACCTTTAGAGGTCCCTTCCCACCCAAACTATTCTATGATTCCACGATTCTATGATTCTACTCCCAGCAGTGTCCCTCCCCGCACAGCAGCTGACGCGCCGGTTTCAGCTGCATGCGTGGGACCCGCTCCCAGCAGGCAGCTTCAGCCTCTCTCGTTGCTTTTCTCAATGCAGACGAGCATGAAAGATCTCCAGGAACAAGAGAGATCAAAGCCAGACCGAAAGAATTTGAAACCGTTGTACTAGGATGGGAAAGCAGGATGGAAAAGCTCCTTGTTGAATAGTGTTCACCGAGTCCCAGAGTGAGCCAGGCACCACAAGGACGTCGGGGACAGCCCGGCCCTGAAAAACGTCCCTTGGACCAGGGAGATAAAAATAGAGCGAGTTTATAGGACAAAAGGGATAGAAAACACAGCTACATGATGCTGGCCTCGTGAAATAGCTCTGCCTTTACAGCAGCAGGACCAGCACCGCCAAACACTGCACGTTTTAGGGGCAGCATCCCTCCTTTCAGCTGGGCTCCAGAAATGGAGCATCACCCTGCGCTGTGCAACCCAGCTGGCTCCTGCCGAGGGGCTGGGACCGTTCCTGGCTCCAGAAAGAAGAAAATCCTGAACGCAACAGGTCTTTTTGCCAAGACCGGAGCGTGGGGCTCAACCCCGGCCCTGCCATCCCAACTACGAGGGTGTCCGACCCCAAACACGGGCTGCCACTGCCTAAGGATCTCGTCCACCAGCATCTTTTAGGAATCAAAAGCAGAGAGATGCAGAAATCTGCCACGAGGGTCAGGGCTGTAGTGCAGTGCACTGCTTCCCCCTCCACCAGCCGGGGTCTGACGGCTCCGGCTCGGTTCAGCTCTCTCTGCCGAGGCTGCCGGATCCGGCCCAATCCGTACGGGGCAAACCAGAAGAAACTCTCACTTTTCCTTCGAGGATGCAGGCAGCCTCCATAGGGCTGGGAAGATGCTGCAGAGCAATTCCCCACCATCCCGCGCACCCGAGCCCTGCGGGAGAGCCACAGGTTCTCCTTGAAGGAGGATTTGGGGAGCCCAAATCCAAGGCGGAGGCGTTACCCGGCATGACGCAACATGGAACAACAGCTTCTGCATTTCTGGGAGCTGATCT